TAGACAAAGGCATGGCCTTCAGCTGATCAGGAGTACACACTTCTTCATTACCAAAATCAACATAAAACACCTTCAATTCAGGTGTCACACTCGTCACTTTACCTCTGTACCTGCAACACAGTACAAAATAAGTACTAACACATTCACAGATTCACAGCTAGAAAGCAATTAATGCAGTGAAGGAACCTGGTGGGAATGTTATGCATTAACTGCAAGAGCAAGTGTATAACAAATCTGGGGAAGAAAAGCCCAATGAAGTACATACCAGTGACCTTCATACAGTGCTGCACACATGGCACCGACTTGAAATTCGCATGGAGCCAATTCTGGTTCAGTAAACAGAACACCCATCACATGCAACAAATTTGACTCTGACTCCACAGACTGCACCCAATATTCCACAGGTCCTACAGTGACTGTTACCTTCACCTGGAGAGAACAGAATATACCATTCAACAGCAGCTTCTAGCCCAGGATTACATCTCAAGGCTCACTTGTGAAGAAGGAAAACCTGGAGAGGACAGATCCACAAAAATGCCTGGAAATATGAAGTGAAGGGAAAAATACTGTGTTCTCTAACATAAAACAATCTTCCTCTTCTTCCCCTACAGACTGAATAACTTAATTTAATATGCATGTTTCTTTCAGTTTCCACCTATTGGAACTATGTAATGGTTGAGATTTCAAGCAATGTTGATGGAATATTTTTCACATTAAAGATTTTTAAGCCAGTAAATAACCATCCACAGTTTGGCAGATGTTTCACACACCCAGAGAACTATGATTTAATCAGTTTTTATATGGATATAAAATTTTGTCTCTCACTCTAAGCAAAAAAACAGAGTTTGTATGTTAGAGAACATTAGGATTGATGAGAGAACAGATGTAATACTGCAAGGTGGATAAAGTGAAGGACAATGCGTAGAGGTTGTAATATATATGTGGGAAACAAGAAATACATACATATTTTGGCTGAAAAACCTAAAGGTTAGAGAGCACTTGGGGAATAGATGGGATGATAATAACCAGATCTTAAGAGTAATAGGATGTGAAAATATGAATTGGCTGAAAACCATATCTTTAAATTGAAGAGCTATTATGCACTCATTATTTTATAACAAAAATCTGAAATGAAAATACCACTTTCTGTTGCAGCAAGGGAGGCCCCACTCATCAATACTACATTCTGATCAGTGTTCCTGCTCTTGCCCCAGCAATTATGCTACACTTTCAAAGAGCAAGCTTACATGAAACAAAGGACAGCCTATCTGTGCTACAGACAGCAACATTCTGTACTAAAGGTTATGTAAATATTCATCCTAGTGAAGTATACTGCTTTAATCATGGTAAGATTATGCATCAATTTTCAGGAAATAATTAGAAGAAAATATAATTATGAAATTAAGTAAACAAGGATGACAGAATATTCAATTAACTGCTCAAATATCAAAAAGTGACAAGATAAGTGCAACCAGCCAACTGGAATGTGAAATGTCAATCAATATGGCCATGTGAAACAAGCAATGAACGTGTGTTTGCACAGTAGTATGCATGAAAGCACAAGAGAAGCCAAGTAGATATGAGAAATGTTAAACTTCTCACTTGTTTAAAATTAAACCGAAGACTTGAATATGGAATTAAACTCGATTCTTTTCATGTAATGTAATTAGCAACTCAATAAAATATAAACAGCAAACTTCATAACCTAACTTATTTGTAGATTATTTTAACAATTTTCAAATTGTATAAGCACCCATTACAACAGATATTTTTTCTGAATTCTGTAATCTTTGGTGTATCAAGGTTGCACTGTATTGAGGACAGCCAAAATCTTTTACCTTTGTAAACCTGTCCGCTGGCAATTCCTCATATTTCCTACTGCCAACAGTGGTAGAATCTCTCAGATTTAGAGTCTCCATCTTGTTAACCACACTGGATACTTCAGTATCTGGAGTCTTCACCTTCTTAACAGCATCAGCTGCTACAGCAGGGAGATTGACTTTACTCACTACAGCTTTGTTTTGCATTCTTTCTGACAGTGAGTTGACTGTTTCCTGTATTGGTCCAGTGTTCACAGAAGAGTTGACAAGTACAGATTCTTGCTGTATCTGGTGACATAAAATGAGGAAATGTTAACTCAATCAGCACACAGAGATACTGAAATTAGGAAAACTGAAATACATACATATACGATCCTAGTTATGATGTTACAAAATTGCCACTGAAAAATGTAAGATATAAATTATCACAAAAACAAATTCTTAAAGAAATGAATGAAGCAGCGGGAAAAAATATAAAGTGATAACCACAAACTTGCACAACTTTTCTTAATAAACAACTATTATCTGAAGAACAATCTTGTACCACAGAGTTCATTACAGGAAAAGAAACATTTAGCATCCCTTGATTTAAGACTTTTCCTTATTGTTCTGTTGTTGTGAAGGGCAGAGATTGTCTGTACGTAACTGCTACCACTAATGGGCACACTGTCCAGCCTCCATATGATACATGAGTAAATATGGAAAAGCAATATAATGATACTGACAGGAGAAAACCAAATAACTTCAAGAAAAACCTTTCCCAGTATCACTTTGTCCACCACAAATTCCACATGGACTGCCCTGGGTGTAAACCTGGGCCTCTGTAGTGAGAAGCAAGCAACTGATCACCTGAGATATAGCATAATCCATACAGGTACATCCTACTATGAAACAATTAAATTAAATTACAAAAGATACTATAATAGGAGACCAAGTCATACCTTGGGAAAGGTGGTATCATTACTGCCCAATGAAGTATGTCCATTTCTTTCCACATGTCTTCCAACATGAAGTCTTTTATTCACACTGCCCCTCTTTGCTTCTGGACTTCCAGGTAGATCTTTATTAAAACTGTTACTTGATATGAACCCATCTTTCTTACTACCAGAGAACCGAGTGTTCATATGGCCATTTCTATCCTGACAATCACGAATAGTTTGTTTAGATTGATTCGCCTTGGAATCTGCATTGTTCTTTTCTTCTCTGCCAAAATGTGACTTAATCCTACTGTCACCTTGTCCAACACCATCAGAAGAGTCATGTCTATTCTGTATAATGTCCTGGCTCATGCTATTCCTCTTTAGCCTTTGTTCCTGTCTCTGTTTCTTATCAGAGAATTGTGCAGAAACACAACTTTGCTGTGAGACAGGTGATTTTGAAGGACCACCCCGAGGTCTGAAAACATACACATGGTATTAATGGGAAACTAATATCATTTATGTAGCAACTGGCATAACATTCTGTGCAGGTAAAATTCCACTCATTCTGAGATATCATCATGCTCTGGCCACTTTATTCCTGGGAAAATATCCTGCAGTACACCTACAGGATTCAGGCAGGATAGGTGGTATATGGTAGTGATAGCGTGCCCTGTTAATCTGAAACCCTAACCAAATGACATGTTAACTCTTAGTAAAGATTACCATATATCCCAACATAAGAACTAAACAAACAAATAAAATCAAAATAGAGAGTAACAGAAAAAGCAAAGTAAAATAAAATAAAACTAAAAATGTTTTTTAGTTACTGTATGAAAAATTATGTACAGATTTCCTTTGCAAAGCTAGTCTCTACTTATAAAAACATTAACTCTTTGAGGCACATCCTGTTTGTTCAGTGTACAGATCTGTCCTCTACAGCTTGGCATACATGTAATGACTTTTTTTTCTGTGAAAATATCTATCAGCCACAAAAGTTCAAATTGTTTCTTAAGATTTAACTGAATATTACAAACAACACCATCACTTACAGTATTTGAAAACAATGTGTCTTGTGGTGAGGCCAGTCCTTCATTTGACATTCCCGTGTGCAATACCAAGACTTACACCGCTGGCAGTACAAGGTGGTTGTCCTTTCACAGTATACACAATTTCCCTGTAGGCCTGTCATGTCCACCTTCTGTCCATATTCATACCAGCCCTGCACAGCAATAGCACACACATACTGATTATTATGGCACAGATACTATTTACAAATAGCAAAACTGAGGAGGGTGGGAAGAAAAAAAAAGTTAAGAGGTAGGAGGAGAAAGAGAAGTTCTCAAAACAATTTATAAAGCTTACGTTCTTTCAAATACCTCTACCTAGACCAGGTGTGAAAAATTAATTCTGCTGGGTGGTCAGAGAGAATTTCAGACATTGTTAAATAGCTAGAAATTATATGCACTATAGGAAAATATTTTACTGATACATCACATTATTTAAGATAAAATTTACAACTCAGAACAATATCCTAAACTCAAACTGTTTCCACAACATGTCATATTAGCAGGCATTAAATCAGATCTGGTGTACACACTGAATGTGTGTTTTCATCTTTTTGGAACATCCGGTACAATGGGAAGATAGACAGTTGAAAACTCTAAAGCAAAAGTCAACCTACAAGAGTGAAAACAACTTGAGGAGGAATGGGGGAAGATGAAGAAAAGAAGTAACATTCAGAAAACTTTTAAGAGTAAAAGTATTAAATATTTGTTTGTTTTTTTCCATGTAAATTTATTGCTAATGCCATATGTTTATGTTTAAATTTATATTTCTGTTGTAGGTTAATAGAATTTTACTTCACTCTTAAATAATAAAAAAAATTGTAACCATCAAGTTTGTGGTTATAAGTACCCACTTAGGAACAAAACCCCATTTTCAACATAGAGCCTGAGGAAAGTGGAAAGGGAAAAGAAGAAGAAAAAAGCAGCTGCTTTAATTTTGGAATGTTCCTATTGCAAGGAATTTTTCATGGTAAACCTGTACTGAGGGGTTTCCAGTACACATCAATACCAAATTAAGACAAACTTCAAAATCTAAACTTACATTGCACTCTTGGTCATACATCCGATCCATTGAATTTGCCAGTATACGTTTCTCTTCTTTCACAGATCTATTAATCTCAATATCATAATCACTACCAACTGAAGGCCTTTCACTAAAACAAAAATTGTGTTCATAAGTACAAAATACTTTAACATTTTTCTTTCTTACCATCAAGTTTTTAAATGTTTAATATCTATTAACACCAACAGCTTTTATTCACTATCACTGTAATTTATTAGAGACACACTTTTCAGTGCTAACAGAGTATCAGTATAATTATGATATCGAATCTTGACATCAAAACTTTAATGTTCTTTATCATGATCACAAAAGCCTGCCTGCAGTTCTTATTCTAAGCCATGATATTTAATATAAATTTACCCTTGTATTTTATAAAATAGCTACAGAAGTGTCACCATAGATCTCATGATAGAAAACAACAAACCTTTACAGTAAGAATTATCAATAACATTTCAACGACTTCCCAATATGATATAACTAATAACTAACAAAAACCAAATATAAATCCAATCTATATACGTTTCCAAACATATACCAAGATATTACCTAGCTGGAAAATATCCACGGCCCATGGAAACTGAACGTCTGCCAGTTGAAGAACTAAAAGTGAGATTTACTCCTTGTTGCATAACCATCCTGCACAGAAAAAGACATAACATGAAGTGTCACAATCAGACACTGGAAATGAGGCAGGGGATATATATATATATACACACAGGGCTATTCAAAAAGATTTGTCGGGGTTTTAAAAAATCACTACACTTAGTATAATTGAGGTAGGAATACTAATCTTGTTTTATTGTGTAGCAAAACTCTCAAAGTGTTTTTACACGAATTATAAATGCTCAATATGTGCACCTTCTGTCAATCTGCAGACATCTACACGACAGTCCATTTCTTCCCATACATGCCCTAGCGTGTCAGCAGTGATGTTCAGAATGGCGGCTCTGATACGTACCTTCAGATCCAGGATAGTCGCAGGTAGAGGGAGGACAAATACTTCATCCTTCCCAAATTTCGTGTGAAAGTGCCGTTGGACAATGGTAACGGACAGATTCTGATGAAATTCAAGAGTACAAAAAGCCTTCTTCTTACCAATAGACGCCATATTGCAAAATCTGGCACCTGGCGGCCAATCGCGTAACTACTGGATGGCGGGCGGTACAGAGCAAAACTTTGAGAGTTTCTCTATCCACCAGTGTAATGATAATAGTCGTATGTTTAATGCATTGCCCCACAAAAATTCACAAAACCCCGACAATCTTTTTGAATAGCCCTGTATATAAAAGGTAACAAAAACATGCCAGACTAAAAGTACAGTGAAACCTCGATGCATCGTTTTCGGCGGGGGTGGGAAATAAAAACGATGAATGCGGGAAAACGATAGATGCGGGAAAGCATTAAAAATTTAAAAAAAACAATGTTTCTCTTTCAAAGTTACTTCTTTTTACCAAAAAAGTCTTTAATGGACAACTGGTTTGTCGAAACTTTACGTTTTAGACCAAACAGAGCACTTTCCACGTTCAAAATGTTTTCCTCGTCACGTTCACTAATATTAAGCGCATAAAAGAACAACTTCACTTTCGCCAATGCAGCGTGCGCTTCGGCAAAACTCGGCAAAGCTTCGGGCTTGCATTCGTCGTCTTCTTCTTCTTCCTCACCACTCCAACCCCCTTTGCGGACAATAACAGGAAGAATGGAAATACTATTACTGCCGAACTCAACGAAACGTAGCTGTAGAAGACCC